GTAATTGGTAATGGATTTCTTTGATGATCTTTTCACTTCTGAGAGAATCGATGAGGAGTTTGGCATTCGCCCTACCTTGGATAGATGCACTGCTCCACTACGTTTGCAAAATCCTCTTCGGGCAGAAGGGATTTACGCTGCATACAGTGGAAATTATAACAATCTCGGGTCTCATGACATCGAGCGAAAGTGCAGTGAATCCTTTTTCACGTACTTCAAATCGGAGCTGGAGAAGAAGAACACACAAAAAATCATTGACCCAGCAATCTTTTTTGGAATGTTTTTTACCGATTGTTTCTTTTGCTCTTATCTCATCGGTGATTTGCAATTCGACCAGTACATCAAAACAGCAAGAAAACTGATGCAGAGACAAGAAAATGCTTTCCTTAACACACCGGGACTCAATTTTCGGGCTGATGAGGACATTCATATCTCACGCCAAACTCGTGCCTACCATGCCGCAAGAATATTGCTGCAAGATGTCTTGATCACATATGTTGACCTAACAGACGGGAAAAAGGATTACAAACCCATGCATGCTTCGGAAGATGGCCCGTGGCTGATCTGGAAGCTGACCGGGACACCATGGACCTTTTGTTATCTTCGTGAAGGTGCGTTGTGCTGCTACTCTAGCACCCAGTATATATATCTACCAATGAACACGATGAGATGTCTATATGAGGTGGTTTGTGCTCGCTCGCTGGTCTTTCTAGCTTGTGATCTCGCTCAGGCAGACAACAATCCACTGTATCCTAAAACATCTGAACTCGTCAGTGTGATAAAAGCAGGTGATCAGGTGCTATTGGATCGAGGGACTCAAGGTTATCAAACTATCAAGCTTTTGGAAGGGCTTGTCATTGGGCTGGTAATTCGAAAAAAGGACCCTGGATTCATTAATGAGAACACGGACTATTTCGATAAGTTGACAGAGGACATCAGAATTGGTGGAACCCCAGCAGAAAAAACATTCGTTAGTGAGTTAGAAACATACATCCTTCATTCACGCAATTGCCATCAATGCTTCCAGTTGTTTGGTTTATTCCGCATCTGGGGGTATCCCCATGTGGATGTGATCGGTGGAATAGACCAGGTAAAGTGCATATCAAAACAGGTTGAAGAGGTCGACTTGCACATAGGTTTCATTATCCGATACATGGCAAGGAAGCTTGTTGTCTCATATATACTAAGCGAAATGCACGACTACCCCCCGGACATACTCTGACAGCTGACATACCACACAGTTCCCCGGTTTTGTTGAAAGCGTTGACCAGAAATACACCTCTAAACGTGAATGACTCAAACTATGATGTCGAACACTGGCGATTTGTAACTCCACATCAATTGTTCAATGCGGAGAACAGTTTAGCAACTCTAGATCTTCTTGCTGACAAAGCGTGCTCTGGGACTCTGACGGAAACAGTTGCTGCTCTGATGACACGTGGCAAACTTCCCGACTCGAAAAATCGTAGAACTCTACTTCGATACCTTCAACAGGAGCATCTAGATTGTTTGGAAGTCTTGAAGAAAATCGACAAAGATGGTTTTTCTAAGGATGACTTGATCATTGAGTGACCCCGAAAGAGCGGGAATTGAAAGTTCTACCAAGGCTGTTCTCCCTGATGACTTTGAATGTTAGGACTTACTTTACAGCAACGGAACACCTGTTAGCTGAAGATATTCTCCCTCATTTCCCTGAAGTAGCTATTGGGCTCGACGCACTAGAACAAAAGCAAGTTCTTAGCAAAGTATCGGGCCAACAAAATCTCTCGAGAAACCGGACTCTGTCAGTATAGCTTTAAACTTTGATTTTTCCCGTTGGAATTTGAACGAAAGAGGAGAAGCATTAAGGCCGTTGTTTGACTTTTTTGACCAGTTGTTCGGTTTTTCCAATGTTTTTAAACGAACACATGAGATCTTTGCAGCCAGCACGTATTATTGTGCTGATTCCTACTACTTGCCTACAGTGAAAGCGTTACTTCGAGAAGAACAGTCAGATATAGTCTGGTGGGAACACTTTGGTGGGATGGAGGGTTTACGTCAGAGGGGGTGGACGGTGGGGACGGCAATGCTGATCAGGTATACGGAGAGAGGGCTGAACATTAAATCTAGACTCCTAGGCCAGGGAGACAATCAGATTTTGTTAGTGAACTACGTAGTCCATCGATATATGGGAACTAAGATAACCAGCCAACAGTTTCGCGAGAGAGCCAAAGCACATTTAAAATCCTTCCTTTGCTATGCTTAGTGAGAACTACAAGATCGGTCTACCAATCAAGCTTAGTGAAAGCTGGATCAGTGAAGCAATATTTGCATATGGAAAGGAGACCTATGTGCATGGGAGCAAAGTGTCTATGGCGCTTAAGCGAATTAGTAAAATGTTCTTCCTCAGCAATGAACTCCACCCGACCGTTTTTCATACCGTGAGTTCTATCTTCTCAAGTGCAGAATCTGCATCTGAGCATGATCGAGACCCACGCGTTGCTCTCACGTGTGCCCTCTATGAGATGATACTTTCGCTTGAGCTCTACTGGCGCTGGTCGCCACTGCGTGGTGCAGGAGTGTGGCCAGCGCAGCCGTTGCTGCCCAAGCCACAATGACGGACGACCGAAGTACTCACCGCGTCACAGCTACCGTACCTAGCTTGGCTTCGATTCCGATACATCTGGATCTGCAGCTCCCGTCCATGTCCTCCGAGGGCGGATGGGCACGTTCCCGCCCAGCAGACATCTGGATCGTCGACTCTACGCTGGTTCTCCGCACCAAGGTAGCCGATGCTTTTTTCTCAGCATCGGGTCGGACTGTTCATGTCGAGCTACTCTCTGAAGCACGGACACACAATGTACTTCGCAATGCCATTCGACGATTCGGCACCGTCAACGAGGACACAAACTCTGCCAGCATACCGATCTGCGTTCGTCTTGGGCGTATCCCTTCTGGCACGGACCCCACCTTCGAGTTCCTCGCGAGCGACAACTTAGCGGCTTTGTTAAGACCAGCCCATCAGACTCTTGCTCATTCGATCATGGATGCGGTTTATGCCAGTCCCCCCCCCCCCCCGGCCAAGACCGGCTGAGGGATACAATGTTCCGTCAGCGGATCCACCACTTACGATCCAATGGCGCTCCCGCACTCTTCGTTTGCGTGGAGACCAGGCCCACGCAGTGCATATGGGAACCAGCAGCCTGCCCCTGCTCGCCATCCAAGCAGCATATGGCACAGGAAAAACCGTCGTAGGAGCCGTTCATCGCTGCCCGGCTCGCGCAACCCGGTCAACTGATAGTCGCGACGGCCACTACCAACGTCGCCGTCGCCCAATTTGCCGAAACACTGCTCGCACTGGATGATCAACCGACAGCAAATCACCGTCCTCCGCTTCGTTGCTGACTCAGCCCTGCAAGAGGGAGCCCCAACTACCTCCCGTCGATCTCCACCGCGTCCTTACCGACCTTTTGGTCACTTATTCTGACTCACTAAATCCGCATGAACAGGAGCAACTCGAGCACTACACTCGTGGTCGTCGTCTCATCGAGCGGGTGCTCTTTAACCCGGAGGCCACCCTGCATATGACCGATCGAGAGCGAGAAGAATATCGGATCGCCGAAACCCACAATTCTCTTGCAACCGAGCGAGCCGTCACCATGATGTTTCGCGTCCGTTTTCCTACCATCCTCTGTATCACGGTGTCGTCGCTGCTCAACACCACTAAACCTGGTGGACTGCTCCACGACGCACTCTTCGGCTGCCGCGTCATCATCGGCGACGAAGCGTCGCAAATCCCAGAGCCGGCCTTCGTAGCAATGACGGCGCATTTCCCACAAGCGAGACAAATCTACATCGGAGACGTCTATCAACTTGAGCCGCACATACGCTGTCCCAGGATCGACTTTGGCCGCACAGCTCGGAAGCAAAGCATTAGTAACAACTTTTTGAGCCCATCCAGCTCTTAATGAGCTACCTAACATGCTAGTCTACGGAGGGACACTCGTAAGCGGAACATCAGCTCAACAACGGACACTTCTCGTAGACCAGCTCTCCCTGCCAAACTCCACACTTCCATTGGTGGTCGTCCACGTAGACGGCTCGTCTCGCACTTCTTATACGCAGTCTCACTCAAATCAGGAAGAAGCCAACTGCTGTGTCGAATTAGTAAATTCCCTCGTGGACAAGAACATCCGACCCTCCTCCATCGGCATCATAACCTTTTACAAGGACCAACTACGACTCCTGGAGCAACCTGCCTCTCGCATGGGAGTCCGTTTGCACACCGTGGACTCCGTACAGGGCATGAAATGGACGTCGTCGTTCTCCTCACGACGCGAACTCGTCTGGAACACGCATCCGGTGATTTCTTAAACGACCCCAAACGGATGAACGTCGCACTCACTCGCTGTCGTCACGGCTTATTCATTTTAGGACACGTCACCGCGCTCCGCTCACTTTCAAACTGGGCACGCTTACTGCGATGGGCCGCCGCACGGAACGTCATCATCAGACCGTTCCTCACTCCCGGACTTATTCTACTGATTATACTTTTCACGACACATGGTAAGTAATCTTTTCACTTCTTTGCCTTTTAAGCTTACCTTGCCGATTCCATAGCACCACCACAAATACTCCTCTTTTTAGGTCACTTACTCAGACGTCGTCGTCACCTCTACCCGATCACTGCATATATACTCTCCGCCATCACTTAGCCGTTTTCTGCCTTTTGCTTTAACTAATTTTTTTACTCTCGCAAGGTGAGTCCTCAGTTTCTTCGACCATCCATTGTTGCCTAATATCCCCACGTCCGAGGACGGACGTTTTTGAGAAAGGGGGGAGGTGTAAGAGCTTAGTAAAGGGACAATCAATAGTTCACTGCGAGCTTCGATGATGCTTCGATGACTTCTGCTGATTACAGGAGGAGGAGGAGCCGTACAAAAGGCGAGGGGAGGAACGTTCGAGAGGCATCGTCGCTGGACCCTGCAAGGAATCCGACGTTTACCCGAGTGCTGCTGGATTGCTGCCCTCCGCCCGACCTTGGCCCACATCTTCCACTCCTGATCTGACACACTGTATTCCATTACTTTCGCTTTTATGGATAAAGCTGCGATACATTACTGTAGTACTGTGTATACACCAAACTGTCCGCAAGATGACTGCTGAACAAAAAGAACAGACGTTTTACGAAACAAGGCTGATCACCGCTGCAGGTGGGATACGGTAGGACTCCTCAACTGAGCTTTGATATTTACAGTCGCTTCATTTTCGAAACGCGTAGTCTCGGTTGTCGTGGAGCGGACACACTTTTTTGAGTTTTGAGGCAACTGCTG